GGACCATAAAATTCAATAAACAGACTCGAGTGTATCCTACAAATAGACACACCACGATTAGAAAATAGAATATGAATTCTTCCATTTTTTTTTAATATTTGTTTTAAAAAAGCTAGTGCAAGTACAATATTTTACACTGGAATTACAGAGAGTATGCACGCATATGGAAAAAAGTTCTCCTGTCACCATAAAAGCTCTTAACTATGTATGCACTTAAAATTTTCTTTTCAATAAGGTGCAAAACATCATTCCTTCCCTAGTTCTCTGTACTGGCCATGTCAGTCTGGTAGCGCCCACAACCCAAGTTCTGGTGTCTTATTTTCCTGTGGGAGGCGTACAAATCCGAAGTTTGGTGGGTCACGATCCAAGAGTAAAACCCCCAGTGGCATGAATCTCAAGAGATGACTCTGGGGCCAGGACCCCACTGGCTAGAAATCAGAGTTCTATCTAATCCGAAGGCCACCACAAATACTGACAGGACTATATGAAAACCTCCTTTCAGTTGACACTAATTTGGGTTTACAGTTGAGCAGTGCAGGCTGGGGAGGAAGAAACCCGGCTGCAAAGGGCAGTATTCACAGAACTGGATGCACAGGTGTCAAGTTTAAGATTCACCAACTAAAGAACTTATCCCACTCCTGTACCAGATAATAACTTAAAGCAGCGGTTCTCAACCTGTGGGTCGCGACCCCCAGGAACTGTATTAAAGGGCCGCGGCATTAGGAAGGTTGAGAACCACTGACGTAAAGAGTAGGTGGTCCATGTAAGAACCAGAGCAAACCTATGCACCGAGCTTCTTGGTTAACTACTCTTTACCCACCACAGCTCTAAGCTAGTGTCACCTCAGACTTGGTTCTCTGGAGGACAGTATGTTATCTTGGTAAGGATTACTGTAAACAACGCTTCCAATGAAGGCCTTCAGATTGGCCATGGTAAAAAGAGACAAGCTCACTGGCCATCCAGACGGCAAACAAACTAAAGAAAAAGCAAACACTGGGTGAGCGGGTGAAGTCTCCAATTTATCTGCAGTGGAAGACTTGAATCCTTTCAGATAAGAAAAGTTATGGAAAGTCTTAGAGACTGTTATTGTATAGATACTACCTATTGGCCAAATGCACTTAAAATTTTAATACAGTTGAACCATGTCTATGCAAGTCATGGGGACATGAAAAACTGAAGCCACTGTTCCCTACCGCCATTATACAGGTGAATGTTAGCTACCAGAACAATTGCATTTAATGAGAAGGGAGGGGATGAGATTCTGAATTTAAGAATTGTAGGTGGGGATGCTTAATATCCCCCATAGCTGTCCAGCATGATTTTTGGACAAGAATGCTATTCGGAGACATTACTCCACATTTATTTTAGCTTCCTTAGAGAAAAATCAAAACTAAAATCAAATGAGGCATTTCAATGGAAAACCCCTCCCCCACTTAAATGAGGTGAAAGAAGGCTAAACAATTTTTTTTTGTCCCCATAATGATTCCTGTTTTATTGGTAGCTAGGCTTCCTTGTTACAAACACTTCATGTTCAGGATTATATTCTTTGGGTTTATAGGAACAGGAAGTGCCGAAAATGTCAAACATCGTCTCTGAAAGAAAAAGAAGTTGCAATGGCTTAAGAGTTTAGTCTAAAAAAGGAGTTCAGAGAAGGACTTTCAGCATAGGAATGAACAGTATTCTCAAATAGCAGAATACAGAGTTCCCCTCCCTCAGACAAGGGCTTTGTGTAACGAAAACAACATAAGCATAGGTATAGTTTAAGAGCCTTTTACGTAGTAAATCTTCTAGGCCATAACCATATAAATCTGATCATTTAGACATGACAAATTTCTATATACAAAAAAACATGTAACTTTCAACCCTTATCTGCTTTTTTTTTTTTTTTACAAACAAAGTATGAAACTCACTGTTTCAACAGATCCATATCTTTCAAACACTGAATGAATCATTTCAACATTCATTTTTCTTTTTGTGCAATTTTTCAAAACATTACCTGTACTCCTCAAAGTGAGTGCTTCAAAATTTTGTTTTCTTCAGCTTCTCAAATTAGGTGTACATTAAAAAAAAAAAATTCCCACAAGGTATAGTGCTACAAGAAAAGATCCTATCAGTAAGGTAACATATTTGAAGCGAGGTCATCTATGTAAAAGAAATCTCAGCTCCGGAGTAGAGGTGTGCAAGTTGTTTGGAGTTTCCCTATCAACAGAAACACAACACTGTCCGTGGAAAAGAGAGGAAACCAACCCAACACAATACCATATGCATGTGCTTTATAAAAAAGTATATTCTCTGTATATTTATTACTTGATGTGTTCTTAAATTCTCTATTTCAGAAATTCTGGGTTAAAAACACAAGCGTGGAAGCAAAGGCCTCCACTCCACTTAAAAAACAACAACAACAACAAAAAAGCGTGATTCGCTTTCCTTTCACGATCACCACCGAAGAAACAGGATTGGGCCGTGGAGTCTGCTGGCCCTGTTTTCACCTGGTCTCATCGGGGGTGACTGGAAATTGAAGTGCAAAGGGGTTCAGAAGAGAACAGACCAGTTTGTTGAGCTGCTTGCAGTTGATGAGACAGTAGCCATGACAACCAACACAGCTCAAAAAGCCTGGCCTTGGGTCCCCAGAGCTCTGCTTCCTCACCCACATCTGAAATAGCATGGCATTAGTGTCTTCAAAAGCATTTTGAGACTTTTCTCTGTATGAAAGAAATAGGTTTCCTTAGTAGTCACAGATGTTACAGGGTTATTGTCAATTGTTTCCTTAAACAAAACAAAACAAAATCCAAAGCTACAACAATAAAAATAAATTTTGGCAACATATTTCAGTAAAGATCAAACTATGTGCAAAGAGTGGATTTTATGATTACTAGGAGCTACTGTTCGTCTCGAACATGCAGCATTATATTGCAATCTATGCAGTATCTAAGGAGTAATCCACGAGATGCAGGAAATCCAAACATTCCTTAATATTGTACAACCCTACTCCAGAGCAGTCAAAGTGCTGCTTCTGGACACATCAGTGTACCACACACACACCGGCCCCGTCCCTGAGTAAGAGGTGTGAAAGGTTCCGCAGAGTTCCTTGAAGGGGAGAAGGAAGGATGCTGCCACTTCCTGTGGGGGGAAAACCCGACACACTCACCCAACAGAAAACAGGTAGGGTCACAATTCGGAGTTAGAAACGGGCTCGACGACAAACAAGAAAATCAAATCCTCCCAAACCCAGCTGGGTGAGTTAGGGCAAACAAAAACTTGACTGACATAGAGAATTATCCTCAAAGTCCAAATGAAAATGCAATTTGGATTTCCACTTTAAAAGATTTGAGGTAAGTGGCATCCACCTCTGAATCCCTCCCTCCCCCGCCCCCTGCCCCAATGTGGCCCAGACAAACTGAAATAATTCTGAAGTTAAAACATTCTAAGGAACAGTCATTTTATATATTTAGAAATCCCTATAAAGAGAGGTTCTTGCTTGTTGGTTTCTTATTAATAATATTATTTTTTTTTCTTTCGCCCTGACTAATGTCTTGGTGATTGTGTTCCGTTGTAAACGCAAAAGGCCTGCTGTTATTAGTTTAAAAATGGAAAACAGGAAAGAAAGCATAACAAAAGACGGCTGTCGGTAAATATTGCCAAGTGGACGCAGTACAGAGGCACGTGGCTGGTCCTTGTATGCTGCACGGCACCGAAGGACTTCCACCCCCCGTCATCCTCACGTCTGCTGCACAGAAGCGGTGACAAAGGCTCGCCAGCGTCCGCAAACGAGAGGAGTCTCCTGCCCTCTGTGCGGTCTTCCTATCTGAAGAGGAAGCTGCCACGAGAGTGGTCGACCGGGGTTGGCAGGTGGTCCCCTTCACAGCCCCTGGGCAGCACGCTCAGAACGCACACACACACAGGCTACACTTTCTGCCCACGCACGGCAGCAGGGCTCCAAGTCTCAAGGACACGGACCCTGAGGAGGGCCCTGTGTACTTGCAGAAAGGACCGTGGAAAATGGGTTGACACCAGGCTACATTGCTCCAGAGTGTGTCTGAGAAACGAATCTGCCTCCTTTCTCTCCATCCTCCACATCCACTATTCCGTGTGGTGACAGGGGGCACTGCGGCTCTTCCCCTAGGTCTCCTCGGCTGGCTTTTTCTGCAAGATGGTGACAGACACTCCTGAAGGCTCCCCGCCCCAGCACTCAGCATCCGCAGGAGGGGAAGGGCGGGAGGCTCTCCCCATCCTGGCTCCTTCCTGCCAGCCCTGCTGTGGCCCCAACGGGGAACAGCAACCGAACAAGGAAAAAGCCAAAAGGGAATGAGCTTTAACTGTATAGCACACCGGTCAGACTCTATTGGCACAGAAAGTATTGCACATGCTAAAAGAGCAAGAGAATGAAATGGGACAAATGTTTAGAAAGAACCAATCCTTTTGTAATTCCTATACCTGAAATAGAACCACAGAAATGATGATGATCTTCCTATTGCTCCAAACCATGTGTGTTTTCTCATTTTAGTGTTGGTTCAATGGATCCGGTCAGTTCAATACTCGAAGTAAGCCAACAAGGTGGTGTGTGTGTGTGTGTGTGTGTGTGTGTGTGTGTGTGTTTTTGAGTCCACATGAGTTGTAAATAGTGGTACTAATGAAAACAAAGTCTATGTGGCAGCCCCGTATTCCTCTTACCATCAAAGGTTAAAACACAAAAAGAAAAACAAAACCTAATAATTGCAAGTGCCCTGAGCAGAATATATATGGAAGATTAAGCAAGTTCTCTGAACAGAAACGTTTAAAAAATACAGCACTAAATAAGCGGTATGACCGCAAGACTGAGCCCACCCAGCTCTCTGCAAGCACGCTGAGAGGGTAATGAAAGCCAAGCGACGTCAAGGAACAATTCTAGCTATTCTAAACCGGTTCACATGTTTTTGGTACACCCCAGAAAATGGTTTATAAAAATCTTTAGCCCTGGAGAGGGCTAGATGCAAAGGGATACTAGATAGCCAAAATGTGAATTGATATCAGATTTCTTTTTTTTAATTTGAGAAATGGAAGAGGTACTATTTTCCATAGTAAAAGAAAAATTAGATAAGTATTTGTTTAGGTTAGTTGCAGCCATCCAAGTAAGAATATTTAAAAATTTCTCCCTACTTATAAAACTTTATTTTAAAGCACTTTAAGATGCACTCAAAACCCACAAATGATATTTCAGATCTCTGGGAATGAAAGGTTTTAAACAATGAAATACCCTTTCTGGGTTTGTACCAAACATTAAATCTTAATTTCAAAAAGAAAAAAAAAAGTCATTCTGAAAGTAACATTAGTAACAACAATGATAAAATAATTGTTGTTTTTTTTTTTTTTTAAAAAAAACTTGCTCACATATAAAATGTCTTCATGGAAAACTCTCTCAATGAATCTGAAGAAAATTCTCAGAGTTGTCCTGCTAAGACCTGGCTTTTTGTGAAAGATGTGGTAAAAAGACCAAAATGAATTTCCAAAGGAACATAACCTTATAAAATGGCCTAGAGTGTAGGCAGGTTAGAAAGTAATTTTGCTACATTTATTTATGCTCGTTCAGTCCCCCAAACCTTTCCCACAATGTTATTGGATAAAAACTGCAGGAATATCACACAAATTATAAACTCAAGATGTGCAAATCGCAAGGTTCTTTAAAAGTTCATCTTAAAAAGAAAAACACTGGACAAAAATGAGTATTCTTTTCTCCATCCCTTTTTCTCTCAGTTTCTCTGCCAACTCTGCATATGCCTTTAACTCTTTCTCAGACATCAAAGTGAAAAGTGCCTCCTGTCAGGTAGTACTTGGTGGTCGTTTATTGTCACATACTAGTTCATAATTCACATTCATCCCTTTAAACCACATTGAAACTTTCAATACCTTGCTCTCGTGAGCAACTCTGCAGAGCTGAAATGTAGTTACAGTGTTGAAAAAAAAAAAAAAAAGAAAGCAACTTAGTTTTTGTTGTTTTTTTTTTTTCTTCCCAAAGAGTTTAAAGGGAGTTACAGTACTTGTTGAATGACAGACCAAGATGCTTGGTAATAAAGTGTGAACAGCATTTTAAGTGCTTAGAGATAGTGATAGATGCTCATCTTCAAAATCTAATTCCTCATGTCACACTGGATTCTGAAAAAAGTGGCACCCGAGTTGTCCATAGTCATGAACTATAAACAGTACTAGAGTTAAAAGACAAAAAGATTTTGCAAACTCAACTCAAGAGCTTCTGCTGCTCTCGCGGAAGGGCAGTTTGCATCTACCTCTGGGGAGCGAAGTCAATGCAAGAACCTGATTGGTTTTCCTAACACTGCACAGAGACCAGCGTGGGTGTTCATCCTCCCCCCAACCTCCACCCCCGCCACGTGGAGTGATGTGAGAGTGGTGGCTTCCCTGTCTACCATGACACCCTGGTGACACCCCTGCACTAGTAAAGCAGAAATGAAATCCCACGTGTGGCAGTTGCTCTTTTTTTTTTTTTAAAAAAAAATATATCAGTGCAGTCAGGCCCCATAGGGGGAAATATATATCTATACGATTAAAAGTTGCTTTTATTGTAAAATAGGTTGGAGAGAAAAAATGCTCTTTTAAAAGGTTAGCTTTCCATCCGCTGTCTGTTACCTCTCTACAATGCCCTGAAGTGGGAACCCCAGGAGGACACTGGACCCCAATCCCATGCTGACAGCAAGAGAGGGAGACAGAGGGAGGCAGAGAAAAAGAGACTCTCACTTGCTGGCACGGTGCCCGTGCACCCCAACTTGCACGCACCCCTGCAGGTCCCTCCTCACCCAACTTTCTCTTGAGGCTGGTGGCAGGGCAGCGCCCACAGCGCGCTTCTGGGCTGCTGGGGGAGACAGACGCTAGGAAGCCACAGTGCCTTCTTTCCTCCTGGGATGCCTGGAGCCCAGACTGTCCCTGCTCTGGCCCTCTGCCCGCCCCTCACTGACAGACACTCCTGGAAAAAGCATATGCACCAGTCTCCTGTGACACACCTGCTGTAACTCTAATGACAAGGTTAGAACAGAAACCTAAAATAAGGATAACATGTAAATACTGTGTTATTTAGCCTACAGTACAGTAATCTGGATACAAAGGGTGAGGGAGAGCCACGATTCCTTTCCCCCACGCTGCCTCTACTTGCCTACGTTAGACCGGCCTTCAATGCAAATCTTAACCTCCTGAGGAATTAGAGAAGGCTTAGGAAGAGTCAAAGGTGGCTCGTCTTCTGACTTCTCCAGTTTGCGGGTCTCCGGCGCTGACCACCTCCTCTTTCTCGTGGCTGCGGGCTTGCTGGGTTCTATTTTGGTGAGGAAGGGCGCTGCAGGCAATCCTATTTTTTCTGGGAACTTCAGTTCACCGTTCTCAGAGAGCATCTGGGCACTTCCCTGATTGATTCCGTTCTCCTGCTCGGTGTACCTGTGTCTACTGCCCGCCAGGCCGTCGGTCTTTGAGTGCTTCAGCAGGACGCTGGCAGGATCCGCGGGCGGGCCCTTTTTAACAGAGCCGTTCTTCAGGTTCTTGAGGGTTAGCGAGATGCAGACATCCCCAACTGAGAGTTTGGAACACGGCAAATCAAAGAGCTGGCTGGTTCTCTCTGGACAGCACGACGACCAGCCCTGTCCAAACACAAAAAACGGATACTCTACCAAAACTTCAACGCTGACCTGCGGAAACAGTGAGAGACAGAGAGAGAGGCAGAAGGAAGGAAACAAATGAAAACATTTGCTTTATTTTAAACACACACACACAGGCTGAACAGGAGGGGTAAAAAAGGACTTAGTTTAGAAACTCCTCCCCCAGCCACACAGGAGAAATGAAGCTCTTAACTTTCTGTCTTTTCTATACTTACCATATATAGATGCTGGGCAGAAACCAGGGAAGGAACTTTCCAGTGTGAAAGCCCATTCAGTATTCAAACTATTCTGAGTATTAGCTCTACTGTCTCTATTCCAACAAGACCGTCAACCCCCAGCAGAAACGAAACACCGACAGCACCAAGTTAGGTTCTGCAAGGTGACCTAGAAGTTCACTGTGGTTTTGCATTTTACCAGCTCACTGGACAAGTGCTGTTACCATGTACGACAGGACAAAATAGGGACCAGAGAGAGACTGTATATGAGCTCCACGAGGCAGGCACGTGTTTAATCACTGTATTCCAAGTCTCTAAAAGGGTAGGTGGCCTCTGTTGGGAGTTTATTTATTGGATGAATGAACGTGTCCTGGAAGCCTGAAGGATGATGGGCAGGATTTGAAGAGGCTCGGGGGCAGGATGCTCCTGCAGAAAGGTTAATACAGACACGGAGAACTCCAGTGCTCAGCTTAGCCCTAGGTTTTCAAATTAGTCCCTGCAAATAATAAAAGTGGGTGAAGCCCAGTATACTCTCAATAGCTGCCATTTTCTCCATCCACTGTGTGCCATGCATCTCGGATAAAGAAATCAACTAAAAAGACAGTCCTGGTCCCAAAGGAATTCACAATCAAGTGAACAAAAAAAGGCCCATAGACAAGAATTGCCAATCACCTGTGGCAGGTGGGTTATGGAGCTCAGTACCCTACAAAGTTCCTGGAGGGCATTTTGGAGAAGAAGATAAATAAAGAAGTCTTCCTGGATGAGGATATGCTGTACTGAGATTTAAACAATAACAGGGGTAGAGTGGAGATGTGGTTGCAAGGAAAAGACATTTCTGAAGTTGGGACATGTGGAGATGGTGTGTGCAGGGCTTTGCAAACAGTCCAGCCAAAGGCTTACTACTGCCATTAAGTTAGGCTGAAATGCTCTGGAGGTTTTTATAGTTTAATTCTCGTGGAAATCGAATTTATCCAACTTTATATAAAAAAAAAGAGAACAATGAAGTAGTTTAAAAAGTCAATTTTCAAAGCCTTTCTAGAGGTAGGAGACTAGGCAATTTAAACCAACCCTCCTGCTGAGGATAACTAAACACTCTGAACACAAAAATATAAGCAAATAAAATAAAAAACCCTGGACAAAATGTTAACAATTATTTTTCTTATGGTACTGGACAGAAAATAAGATAGTAAAAAATTACTAGGCTGGATCAGGAAAGGATCTGAACCTGGTATTTGAGGCCTATTGTCTCCCTAGGGCATCAGTAAGTTCCAAAGTGGAGCAATTGTGAAATCAAATGTGCTATTGATAGTCTTAAAAGTATGGAGCACAGGGAAGGGAGTTCAGGGTACACCAAGGCAGGGGAATCTCTGATGAACCCCATATATTTCTGACTGCAAAGCATTGTCCCTATATCATACAAGTAATGGTGAACCAGAAGCACACAGGGCTTTCTAGGACTGAAGGTCATTTTGAATCATCTCAGGCCCTAAAGTTGGATTAAGGTCTTGAATTATTTCCACAAACAATTATGCAAATAAAAGGCTAGCATTTAATTTAAAAGTGAGGAGGGGCATGAGGAGACCAGGTAACATGAATAAAAACTAGCAAAAAACCTCCAAGAGATAATAAAAATACATACACAGGGGCTTCTGATATACAGTTGTCAGTAGAGACTTTGATTGTGCTTCCAATATTTAAGAAGATTGGAGACAAGCTTGAGGATTCTGATAGAGAGCTAGAATTTATTTTTTAAATGATCCATAGAAGTTATAGAATTAAAAAAACACACCCAGTGAAATCAAGAATCCAATGGATTTTCCAACTGAATAGACATGGTTTAAGAGAGAATTAGTGAACTGGATTTTCTAATTAGAGCTCTAAAAAAAAACCTGTAATATGAACACAGACACAAAAAGATGGATAATACTGAAGAGAGGTTAAGAGACAAGATACATTGAGATCTACCAGATACATAATTTGGAAGGAGAAGAAGAGAGGGATAATGGGGCAGAAGTAATACTTGAGGAGGTAATGGCTAAGATTTTTCCCTAACTCATGAGAAATACAAGCTATGAATTCAAGAAGACCTAACCCCAAGTAGGAAAAATAAAAAGAAATTCCTCATTTTGGTAGCTCATAGTTAAATTGCTACAAGTTGAAGGCATGCTGTAAGCCCAAGGCAGGAGAAAATATCTTTAAAACCTCCAGAACAAAATATACACATTACCTCCAAATAAGCAACAATTAAAGCCACAGTTTATGTCTCATCAGAAATAATGGAAGCCAGAAGAAAATGGAACATCATTAAAGTGCTAAAGAAAAAGAATTTCCAATCAAAAATTTTCTATGTAGCAAAAAGATTCTTCAAGTATGAAGGCAAAATAAAGACATGCTGAAATGGTAATTAAGAGAATTCTGTCAGATCTGCATGATGCAAAATACTAAAGAGTATTCCTTAGGTAGAAAAAAATGAATCCAGATAGTTTGTGCATGAAGGGTGTGAAGAGCAATGAGAATGGTAGATGTGTGGGTAGGTTAAAATGAATAACGGCTATATACAATAACATTTCAAATGTTCTGTTGAATTTTATACACACACGTATACACAGAGGCAAATAAATAATTCAAATACAAAAAACTCTTAAAAGTCAATTATCTTCTTTGGTAACTCTGATTGATCTAGTTTTGACACATTCTAGAATGACAGACGTCACTGCATCCTTAGTGTTTTTAGAAGGGACAACTCGATTGAATTATACGGAAGCCTATTTCTATCATGCATGCATAAGCATCCATACTCATGTGCATGTTGTCTGGGGCAGCTGCATTGTTCTGGGCTATTCTAATAATGTGAAGAGAGCTAAAGCTTTTCTTATTCTTTGTCAAATATCCAGGTACACATTTTACTCAAAGTAGTTTGTGTAATGCTTACAATGTACAAGTGAGACAAGCATTGATATTTCAATTTTATAATTTTATTAATAGTCACAGAGAGATTAAATCACTTGCCTAATTTCATAGCTATTATTTCCTTTTTTTTTTTTAGACAAAGTCTCACTCTGTCACCAAAGCTAGAGTGCTATCACATCAGCCCAGGTCACAGCAACCTCAAATTCCTGGGTTCAAGTGAGCTTCCTGCCTCAGCCTCCCAAGTAGCTGGGACTACAGGCACCGGCCACAATGCCTGGCTGATTTTTCTATTTTTTGTAGAGATGGGGTTTCATGGCTCTTGCTCAGGCTTGTCTCTAACTCCCGAGCAACAGATCCTCCTGCCTTGGCCTCCTAGAGTGCTAGGATTACAGATGTGAGCCATTGTACCCTACCCATCTTCTTATGCTACCTCATCTCCACCCCTGTCAATGAAGATATTACAACATCACCGAAAAAGGAAAACTTTCAACATTTCCACTATCCCCAACAGTGGGGAATATCACTTGAAGTAAGTAGGATCCAATGACATGAGCTCACATATTTGTTTCATGGTACTGAAAATTGGGATATCCTGTCTGTTTACATCTCCTCATACAATTCTAGTCGCCCCATGTAAGTGTGTGATAAGGTTGATGTTCAGTTTCAAAACTGCATTTCCATCGCACACACATTTAGTTGCATATAAATATTTACAACCGTACTTACATCAGATGGGGATGCCCACTGTATTCTAACCTGAAACTGGCTCCACAGGTCCTCTCCCAAACCTCTTACAGCCAGTAACAACAGAAACTGAGCAGAAGGAACAAATCTTACATCAAATGGGATTGTTTAGCTGCATTTCTGAGTTATGAAAACGAAGTTCTCTTGTATAAATATATCTCAGGAATCTCTACCAGACTAGCTGTTCGCTGGTTCCTAACACCAGTGGTAATGTGATATGGAATTTTCCAACATATCAGCCTCTTTTTGGGCTCTGCATGTTCTTGGGTAATTCCCTGCCCCCTTACTGGCAGGCAGCCTGATACGTACTAATGAAGAGGTCCTTGGTGTGACAGCCATATGATTTACATTTCTCAGAACAGCCAATGTTTTATTTTTCAGAAATAACATCTGTACTCATAGATAAACCTATCTGGAGATTTTCACATTACCACATGTTTGTAGACTCATTAAGAAGAAATGTCTTGGCTGGTGTGATGGCTCGCGCCTATGATCCTAGCACTGTGGCAGGCTGGGGCCAAAGGATCCCTTGGGCTTAGGAGTTTGACATCAACCTGAGCAGATGAGACCCCATGTCTCTTGAAGATAGAAAAATTAGCCAGGTATAGTGGCAAGCAAATGTAGTCCCAGCTACTTGGAAGGCTGAGGAAGGAGGATTGCTTGAGACCACCAATCTGAGGTTGCTGTGAGTTCGGATGAGGCCACGGCATTCGAGCCTGGGCAACAGAGTGAGACTTTGTGGCCCTCTTCCAAAACAAATATTTTCAAGCCCTTTGTAACAGGTAATGCAATTGATTACTTTAGCAGCTATAATGCAGATACATATATTTACTATTAAAGATACCATCATGTTTTTGAACATTAAATAAAGTCTTTCATTATTCCCTTAGCAGAAAACTCCAAAGACAGGCCTTAGAACTAAGTGCTGTGGTACGGTCCGTAGCTAGAACAGTCTAAGTAAAAATTCATGACAGAAAAGTGATGGAGAGAGAATATTTGAGATGTGCACTAAAGAAAGCTGATATTAATGGATTTCTTTTAACCTAGATGGACTTGGGAGATTCTTCTCCATCACTTCATGGTCTCAGCTCTTTGCTCTCCTCTGCCTAAATTCTGGCTCTTCCTCCTCCCAAAGGAGCTTTGCTTTCCTGGGAAGCCAGA